TTTCAGCCATTATGTTAGTAAAAATTTTATAATCCGTATTTAACAGCGAGATTGGCCTATAATTTTTAATCTGTTTGGGGTCTGTGCCTTCTTTTGGGATAAGAGATATGATGGCATCTATCCAGGAGTCTGGTAATTTGGATTTCTCCAACACATCATTATACACATCTAGTAATATCTTTTCAAAATCTTTGTGGAAGGTTTTATATAGGACTTTGATAGGACTTTCTTAATGATGGCAATTTGTTTGTTAAACTCCATGTGCAAACTCACTCAGTGCTTCTACTAGTCTTTGGAAATTAAACTTTTCTCTCAGCTTTTCATCCATTTGCAAGAACTTTACTAACTAATAAAATGAAATTCAATGGTGAAAAAAGCAAGGTTCTACAGTTAGGCAAGAAAAACCAAATGCACAAGTACAGCATAGGTGGCACCTTGCTCAATAGTAGTAACTGTGAGAGGGACCTTGGAGTCCTAGTGGACAATCACCTAAATATGAGCCAGCAGTGTGCTGCAGCTGCCCAAAAGGCCAACACAGTGCTATTTTGCATTAACAGATAGAATCAAGATCATATGAAGTGTTAATACCACTTTACAATGCCTTGGTAAGGCCACACTTGGAATACTGCATCCAGTTTTGGTCACCGCGATGTAAAAAAGATGTTGAGATTCTAGAAAGAGTACACAGAAGAGCAACAAAGATGATTAGGGGACTGGAGGCTAAAGCATATGAGGAATGGCTGCTGGAATTGGGTATGTCTAGTTTAATGAAGAGAAGGACGAGGGGGGACATGATAGCAGTGTTCCAATATCTCAGGGGCTGCCATAAAGAAGAGGGAGTCAAGCGCCTGAAGGCAGGACAAGAAGCAACGGGTGGAAACTAAGCAAGGAGAGAAGCAACCTAGAACTAAGGAGAAACTTCCTGACAGTGAGAACAATTAACCAGTGGAACAACCTGCCTCCAGAAGCGGTGAATGCTCCAACATTGGAAGTTTTTAAGAAGAGACTGGACAGCCATTTGTCCGAAATGGTATAGGGTTTCCTGCCTGAGCAGGGGGTTGGACTAGATGACCTTCAAGGTCCC